AATTATAATCTGAAGAGATTCTATGTTTAGTTTAATACACATAAGTAAAGGTCAATACAAGTTTAGTGTATAAATAAATAATAATTTGCAAAAAAGTGGGCTTTTTTTTTACAATTTCAGAGTAATAATGACATCAGCTGTATGTTTTGAGCTCAACGTTCTCATTTCATTTATTTCCTCAGAATCTAAAAACAAACTCAAAACGTGATAAAAACTCAAGAGTCTACCCARGATTCCCCCGACATCAAATAACGTTGACATGTCTCCTGCTTCTTTCGCCTTAAAATGTGCTGCGTAAACAAAAGAAAGCACAGAATGAAGGTCTGTTATCCTGAATGAATTAAAGACAGACAGGTTTGAAACTGACCGACGTTTGAGATGTAAAGAGGAAGCCAGTATAGGAACGTGTAGCTGACCAGTTTGGCAAAAAGCAGACAGAGTGAGAACTCCACCACTCCCTGTGTCARACACACAAACAAACAAAAAAAAATATTAGATGGAGAAGTAAGGATGTCACCCTGGATGAGACCACTACATGGAGCCAAAGGATGACATTCCCCCCAAAATATATGTTTATAAACACTATCTACTTCAAGAAAAAAAARGCCCATTTGAAACCAAAACTTTGTTTAAAGCGCGTGATTTTCAACTCACAGGTATACGGAGAGCCCCACAGAAACTAATGGCCTCGGGATGCTCCTCCACCTCCTCTGGAAGCTGCGTGGTGATGCCGCCGTTCATCACGTGGTTCCCGTTGACCGAGTTGCGCAGGAGAGGCTCCGTCTCGCCGTTTTCCTGAACGCTCTGAGGAACACACACACACACACACACCTGTTAGTTCAAACGGTTTGTGTGACAGGTGAGTGAGGAGGAGTGACGTCTGTGAAAACTCACGTGATGCTGAGGAGAAGTGCAGTTCACATCTTCAGGTTCTGAGTCAAACAGAGAAGCAGATGAGGCAGTTTGGAGATATTAAAGTATGATAAACCATGCTATCGACCCAAACTTTTATGATCTGAATCAAAGATCTGTCAGCTGCTCAAACTGACTTTCAACAAGGAAGAAGAAGCACAGGACCCCCGTGGAGGCGATGATGAGTCCGGGGACGATGAAGGACATTCCCCACTCCGAGGAGACGAAGACTCCTGCGATGAGAGAGCCCAAGATATTCCCCACCGAGGTGTGGGAGTTCCACACCCCCATGATGAACCCACGCCTAACAGAACAAAAACACACTGAGCATCATCTTTWCACCACATTCTTGTGTCATAAACCAACTGAGTTAGTCTTTTTTGTGTTTACTAACAACAATTAGCCGAAGCAGCCATCTTGAATCAGGCTGACTTGARAAGATAATCAGTYGWAGATTTACAAGGTGAGTCAAAAGTYGCAGGACACCCTTTGACCTTTTTACCCTTTTGATCCAATATGGCGACTTTTGAGATGGCGGCCATGTTTTAGAAATAGCCTAAATTAGTGGTTCCCAAACTTGGGGTTGGGACCCCTTTGAGACATGAAACACCAAGTGAGCTTCCCCAGATGATTTCCAATTGTTAATGAAACATTTTCATCATAATTATTACAACAACAACAACAACAACAACAACAACAACAACAACAACAACAATAATAATAAATAGGGTTCCCACACCTTGGTCAACATCATATTCAAGGACCTTTCAAGGACTTTCCAGTAGGGAAACCATTATTTTTTTCGATTAGTCGACTAATCAGATCAAACGTTAATTGAATATAAAACATAGAGCTTATCACACCAGAATGCAGCTGCTATTATATAACCATGGTTAGATTTTAGCTACATGCTAACTAAAAATAATTGCTGTGGAAGGTAAGTTCTGCTC